GGACGGCAGTGAGTGTGTCTCCCATGTTCACTCACAAAGGGGGAGGAGAGAGGTCACAGACTGCTGGGGATGTCACTTAGGTAGCACCTGAAGACAGACCCACAGGACTGCAGGGTTGTGGAGACAGGAAGGAAAGTCAGGTTGTAGAGGGAGGAGGTGTGAGAGCAAGAGTAGGGCTGTGTGACTTTGATTTTAAAAAGGTTCAAGGGCTGGCGGAGTGGCTCACCCTGTCTAGCAAGCATGAGGCCCTGAGTTCAAACCTTAGTACCACCAAAAAGAAAAAAAAAGTCAGTTGCGGTAAAATGCACATAAGATTTTCCATCTTAACCATTTTTGTGTGTACATTTCAAAAGTGTTAAGGACATTGACACTGTAGGACAACCAACATCTTCTTATCTTGCAAAGCTAAAACTCTGGACCCATCAAACAATTTCTCATCTCCTGGTCCCTGGCCACCACCCTTTGCTTCCTGTCTCCATGGATCTGAGTATTCTAGAGACTTCGTATAAGTAGAATCACACGGCATTTGTCTTCCTTTGACTGGCTTCATTCACCTAACATAATGTCCTCAAGGTTTCTTCATGTTGTAGCACGTGACAGGGTTTCCTTCCTTCTTAAGATTGAAGGAAGGTGCACCTGTGTACCTGCACCACATTTTGATATCCATTCATCTATTGATAAACAGTCGGGTTATTTCACCTTTTAACCCAGCACATTCTAGCCGAGCACTGTGCCTCTGAGCTACGTCCCCAGCCTGTTGCATAGCTAGCTTTTTTTGAAGGAAAAAAATGGCTCTAAAAAGGAGAAAGAAAGAAATTAGGTATAGTTGCTAGGATGCCTAACATGGGGGTGGGGGGTAGGCAGGACCATTTTAATGGGTTAAATATATATATATATATATGATGGAATCTACCCACAAGCAAATTAGAGAGAGATGGTATACCATGGCACAGTGTTTTTCTTTCTGATGACTCTCTTACACACATCGCTGGTGTCTTGCTGCCTACACTGGGGGTGTTTTATAGGTCCTAAGACTTCTGCCAGTCATCTTTCTCTAAAGCTTTGCTGACACTTCTAAATGAACATTAAGCTTGTGTGCAGTTAGTGTCTGTTGCATTTATTTTGCTCTAAAAAGACTAGGACAGAAAGGAGATGGTGTCATTTTCTTCTTTGTGATGTTGGGAATGGAACCCAGGGCCTTGGACATGCTGGGGATGAGCGACACCCCAGCACATCATTTTCTTCTCGAGATTTTCTCATCATGGGACATGTGTGCTCAACCATCCAGAGGGCCACTCGTAACTAACTGCATGGTGTATCTACCTCTCCTAGACACATTTGACATTCCGCAGCACTCGGCATTTCACCTTGTCACTGAATGTCATTCTGTAGCACTTTTCTGGGACACTGTGCATCAGTGGTTCCTAACTGTGATCCTTTTTTTTTTGTTTTTTAAACTCACACGCCCAGCTGCTCTCCTGATAGTAGTCAAATGAGAATCCTCGGTGCCAATGCCCTGGCATTAACATTCTTTGTTGTAGTTTGTTTTCAAGGTGTTCTCAAATAGAATTAAACTGCCAGCATTTTGGACTGATTCTTAACATAGTGTTTCAAAGGAAATTTGATTTTGTTTTCGTGGATTAATTTCGTGAATTCATTCTTGGTAGATTTGTGAGTCATCAAGAAAGAGTTTAAATGCACAAAATCAAAATTCCAAAGTTCTAAAAATGTTTTGCCAGAGACCATATACGTTATATATCTACACCTCATTCATCCACTCTTTATTAGTACCTGCTTGTGTGCTAAGTGCTGGTCTCAAGAATTAAGAAATGGGACTGGTGGAATGACTCAAGTGGTAGAGTGCTGCCTAGCAAGTCCAAAGCCCTGAGTTCAAACTCTTCCCCCCCAAAAAAGAATTTAGGGACGGTCCCTATTTGGTCTGTTGGCACGTGGGGTTTATGTTTTCTTCCCATTCTTTTGCTTGGATTTCACTGTCTGGAGACAGTGTTAGCAATCACTTACATGATTTACTTACTGTTCTAATTGCTTTACATATTTGGATTTATTTTATCCTCACAACAACCCTATGAAGTGGGGACTATCATAATCCCCATTTTACAGATGAGGAAACTGAGACAGAGAGGTTAAATAATTTACCCAAGTCACACATCCATAAAATGGTGCAGTGCAATTGAAAGCCAGGCAGTCTGAGAGTCACCACACTCTCCTCCCCATTTCCTGTCACCTCTGAGATAGATAACTTAGCAAACACAGTTTGCCTTCAGCCAGATAGCAGTCGTAAACCATGCAGTTTCAAAAGCGCACACAAGGGCTGGGGGTGTAGCTCAGTGGCAGAGTGCTTGCCTGGTACACGCAAGGCCCTGGGTTCCGTCCCCAGCACTGGAAAAAAAATGTGACCCTGGTATCTTGCCGTACCACATCTCTGGTAATGTCAGCAGGCTAATCTAAGGCCAGGCTAAGTCATCTGTTGTCACGAAAGAAGCAGAAAAGGCATTTTGGACTCTAGGGGAAAAAGATCAGTGATGAAGTCAGAAGTCACAGGAGATGAGACTTGAAGTCCTCCACTCCGCCAGCCCTTTCAACTTCTTTTTCCTTAGCTTCCTGATGATATATAGGCCTCCATGTGTTCCAACTGTGTATTACTGTGCTTTGTTCCTCATTTTCCTTTAATTTTTAGGAACCAATAGTTTTAGTACAGAGGCTGTCCTGAAAGGCCTTCCCCCAGGGATATGTTGGATGGCGCTCTCTCAAAGGTACCTCTTACGTGTAATTTTCTCCTTTTTTCTAAAGCACACACCTTAAGTATTCATTGTCATTTATATCATCAGCAAGGATCTCAGATTGCAAATACAAGTTTGCCTGTGATCGTTCCTCAAACAGAGTCACATAAGGACACAACTGATTTACATTTTCTTGATCCGAATCGAAAGCTAAACCACAAGGCATCGATTTGGTGTTGCTGGTTGAAACCTCCTGTTCCAGTCTTATGTTTTGATTTTTTGGCTTTGAGCTTGCCAGGCAGGTGTTCTACTGCTTGAGCCACACCTCCAGCCCTTTTTGCTCTGGTTATTTTGGAGACAGGGTCTTGCTGTTTTCCCAGGAGGACCTGAACTGTGATCCTCCTAGTTTACACTTCCCACCATCAGTGGGATGACAGGCGTGCGCCACCATGCCTAGCTTTTTCTCTCACATCAAGAATGGGAGTCTTATGAACTTTTTCCCCCCCTAGGGCTAACCTGGAGCCACAATCCTCTCCATCTCAGCTTCCCCCTTAGCTTGAGATCATAATCCCATGCCACCATGCCCAACTATTTGTTGAGATAGGGTCTCATGAACTATTTGCCAGGACTGGCCTCAAACCACAATCCTCCTGATCTCAGCCTCCCAAGTGGCTAGGATTATAGGTGTGAGCCACAGGTACCCAGCTTCATGATGTTTTTAATTGTCTATAACACCCTTCTAGTCAAACTAAACATAGCTCCCAATTCTAGTGGACTTTGATGATGACTTTAAGTACCGATGGCTTTTTGTCCCTTGACTGTGTGTCTGGAGTCTGCATCTTGAGGCTGGTGCTGTGGGGATAGACACTGGCCTCCTCAGATGACTCCAGTGCTATAACCCACGTGGTTCTTTAGCCATCCTGGTTGGTCATGTGTTCCAATGGGGCCGTTCTTGAGAAGAGTTTGCTGATGAGGCTGGCTTCGTCCACCTGACCTATGGTCACTGGCCTTTTTACTGATCGCTGTACCCACTGACAAATAGGTCATACCCAAGATGCCACTGTTCAGGGCTACCTGGGCACGTTTAAGTGGCTCCATACTTGGTCCTCAGCCATACACTCCTGGTGAAGAAGTGTTGGTATGGAGTGCTATTGCTTAATCCACCCGTCTTTCATTCTTTTTTTTTAACCCCTCCCTTTCATTCTTGATACTCAGCTTATTCCTACCTGTTTGCTGTTAAATAATGCAACAGTGCACATTTTTGTGGTTAAATCTTTGTTCTCGTTTCTATTTTCTGGGGTAAATTCTTAGAATTCAAAACTCCTGATCTTGCCATGCTAGGTAAGCACTCTACCACTGAGCTACACCTCCAGCCCAGAAGTCAAATTTTAGGGTCAAAGATAAGTCTATTTTTTATGTGGAGTATAAACTAATGTGGCCAATACCTTGTAAAAATATGGAGGTGGTTGATGTCATGGAGAAAGCATTGGGACAGATGTGAAGTGTCCTGGCCTCCAGAATGGACAGTGTGGCTTGGCAGAGTAGGACTTTGGGCAAGTCCTTTGCCTTCATTTTTTCTTTTTCTTTTCTCTTTCTTCTTTTTTTTTTGGTGGGCCTGGGTTTGAACTCAGGACTTTATGCTTTGCAAAGCAGGCTCTCTACCACTTGAGTGACACCTTCAGTCCATTTTGCTCTGGTTATTTTGGAGATGGGGTCTGGTGAACTGTTTGCCCAGGCTGGCCTTGATTCTCCTCATGTCTACCTCCCAAGTAGCTAGGATTACAGGCGTGAGCCACCGGCTCCTGACTATTTTTTTTTTTTTGAGGCACAGTCTCATGCGTAGCTTAGGCTGGCCTCAAACTCTCGATCCTTCTGCCTCCACTTTCCCAGTGTTAAGATTACAGGTGTGTATCGCCACAGCTGGCTTTCATTTTTTTCTAAGATAAGTCCCGTTGTGAGTCGTGGGCATTCCCTGGTCTTTCAGTCCTGTAGGCAGATGTGTAAAGGGAGGGCAGATTTGCTGGGTGCCATAATGGCCTTTTTGTGCAGTGGTGATGGCTTCTTGGGGGATGGCTTCAGAGTTTTGAAGCAGCTCTCACCATCTCCTACTAGACAAGAAGAGAATCTAGATTGCTACTCAGAGTCTGGTCATTCGTAAGCCTGCGATAGACAGAGACCCCAGCAGCTTCTTCCACGTGCCATGGGCTTGGTTCTAAAGCTGATTGCCCCAGAATTAATCTCATTCTTGTGTCTTTCCAGGGAAGCTTTATGGTGATGTTCCTTTTATAGAAGAAAGACACAGACACCGGTATGAGGTATGCCTTTCATGCTGAATTACTTTGGAATATGGATGTTTAGTGTGAGGACCCCCAGTGACCTCCACCGGGTGTGGAAGGAAGGCATGTTAAATTTCCTACAGTCCCTCACTTCCAGAGGAGGCTGGTGGGAGATAGAGATTGCTCTTCTTGGCTTTGCAAAGGCAAAAGCTGTAAGTGTCTGCATACGGGCACTTCAGGGTTTGTGTTACTCTACCTACCATGTTCTAGACCAAGAAAATGCTGCCATTACTGTTCCTGAAACCCTGCCCTTTATTCTCCAGGTGTGAGAAAAAGGGGCTTTCCAACAAGGAACCTAATGTGTGCAGGACGGGGATGAGTTCCTAGGTCTCATGGTGGACTCCAGCTTCAGGAACCTCTTTGGAAGTTTATATTGAGCTTGAGGCTTAGGGTCACATGACTAAGAGGTGTTAATTACTGAGATTGCTACATGAGAAGCATAGGTGTCCAGAACGAAGTGCAGATTTTCTATACCAGGATTAATTAGTGCATTGCTATGAGGCTTTTGGCTGTAAAGAACAGAAATCTCTGTTGGTCAAACCCAGTCTAAACAATAAGGAAATTTGTTAGCTCAGATCACAGATAGTCCAGAGGCTGGGTAGACTTCAGGCATGATACAGTCAGAGCTCCTGTTGTCTGTGTGGTTCTCTTTGGGTGTACCCTTTTCTATGTGTCTGCTTTGTCCTCTGACTTTGTCTCCCTCATAGTTGCAAGATGGCTGCCAGTAGCAACTGGGGCAACATGCATTTTTTTCCTTCAGTCTAATTGGGTCAACTTAGATTACCTGGTAACCTGTGAATTAGTAGCCATTGTCAGTGCACTGCTGAATATTGGTGGGCTTAAACCTGGGTTCTGGCAACATTCATCTGTCAATAAGGATGGATTTGTCATATTTCACTTAGACCAACCGGGATCACCTTCTAAAAGGAGACAGGTTGCAAGAGAAAGAAGAGTTTCAATCCTCAATCAAATTTATGATTTGGGGAGAGATAGTTGAGTACACATAACTCAAGAAAGAAGCAAGTACAGGGATGGCTATATAACTGGCCAGTCTCAATGTTCTGAGCTGGAGTATCTGTGTCACGGTCCTATGTTTTCAATCTTAACTTTGGGAGAAAAAATGTTGGTCTCCAGATTTAGGTGATATGATTAGACTTCCTGTCTTAGGTTTATTGTGAGTTTAAAATTAGACTTTGGAGGGATTGGGGGAGTGGCTCAAGTGGTAGAGCTCCTGCCTAGCAAGCATGAGGCACTGAGTTCAAACCCCAGTGCTGCCAAAAAAAGAAAAGAAGAAGAAAAAGGCTTTCAGTGTTAAATATAGAAAGTAAGCACTGGTTAGCAGACCAGTGAAATGGAAAATCCACCCAACCTTTTCACTAACTCTTGACATCTGAATTGCACTGTGGCTAACAAACAATTTCTTGGGTTTCCAGGTGAATCCTAACCTCATCAGCCACTTTGAGCAGAAAGACCTAAGTTTTGTAGGTCAGGATGTTGATGGAAAGAGGATGGAAATCATTGAACTGGCAAGTAAGTGGGCTTTTCACCTTTGAACAGCTTCATGGTGAGCTAATGTCTTTCTTATCAATCAGAGACTAATTTGAGATCTAGTGTGCTCGCTTTCTTTTTATTCCTCTCTCCTTTGAAACAGATGTGGAAGAACTAGTGCATGAAAAACGCCTTGCTTAAAAACCTCATCATTTGAGGCCTATTGGTGTGAACCTACAAGTGCTACGAGTGGTGGATTTCTTTGCCATTCCCCCTCCCCCATTCTGAGTTTGTCCTGTGTGTTAGCCTCTAGGTTAGATTCTCTGCAGAAAGCAGACAGCTCACCGTCCAGTGGCACTCTGCTTGCTGTACTCCTTTGAAGAAGAATGGCAAGTGCCCAGCTCGTTACTGTGACCCCTGTTGATGTCTTCTGCGTGAAGGACCTGTTTCCTTTTCCTGCCTTTCCCTACTGTTTGTGCTTAAAGGTTGAGCTCCAGCCAGTCACTGAACTTCTGAAAAGTAATTGCTGCACTCAGATTTCTTTATAAGACCAAATGAAACACAAGCAAAGGGATTGGACTTGTGTTGAGGAAAAGCACAGAAGTTGTGGCTGGCTGGAACACTCCCGAGAGCACAGGCATAGCACACAGTTATTGATGGGACAGAAGACAGTGTTCTCATTCCAGTCTGCAAGGACACAGTGAGACCGTGGTCACAGCTGGTCTCAACTCTTTGCATTGACATTCTAGCCCAAGGTTGGCAAACTACTGCCTGTGGGCCAAATCCAGCCTGATGACTGTTTTTGTGTGGCTCATGAACCAAGAATGTTTTTTTTTGGTGGTGCTGGGGATTGAACCCAGGGCTTTGCACATGCTAGGCAAGTACTTTACCACTGAACTATATCCCCAGCCCCAACACTTTCTTTTATTCTTTTGAATGAATAATAACTTTTATGTTACATACCAAAAGAAGACATTGCATATCTTACAACATTTTTAAATGATTGGTTAAGAAATTAAAAATAATAATATTTGTGACACATGGAAATCATGTAATTATATGACATTCAAATTTCAGTGTCCATAAATAGTTTTGTTTGTTTATTTTTTTGGTGGCACTGGAGTTTGAACTCAGGACCTCACACTTGCTAGGTAGGTGCTCTTATTGCTTTTGCCACTCCATCAGCCCTGTTTTTGGGATGGGTTTTTTCAAGATAGGGTCTCATGAACTATTTGCCCGGGCTGGCTTCGATCTGTGGTCCTCCTGATCTCTGCCTCCTGAATAGCTAGGATGACAAGTGTGAGCCACTGGCACCTGACTTTCTTTCAGACTATTTATGTTAAGGTGTCATCACTCTCTTGTCCAGGGTTTGTTACCTTCACCGCCATTGACATTTAGGAGCGAGATAATTCTTTGTCATGGGTGCTGTCCTGTGCACTGTGTGGTGTTTTGAACACACACTAGCTACTGGCAGTAGACTTGCCTTCCCCAGCCCCTTTGTTGTGACATTTCAGAACATCTGCAAGCATTGTCACATGTCCCTGGGGCAAGGGGCACATGTGCCCCTGGTCAGGAACTACTCTCCTAGACCATCAGGTTTAAGATTGGATGACCAGGCTCTCCTCCTCTTCACACCCCAACTTGTAATCACTTGTCAATTCCTATTGAGTCTGTCTCTGGAAAGAATGACAGCATTTGAGATTGCATTTCCATCCGTCACCCTAGCGCCAGGGCGGGATGACTCCAACTCAGACTCCATCTTGGGCCTTCCCTGCTTCTAGGCTCTCCCCTCTCTAGTACCTCCTAACGTGGCCAGGGCTTTGGTGGTGTAGTGCGTGACACACTAATTTGTTGAAGAAACCACTGTCATTTATTGAATACAAGTGTGTAGGGGACACTCTAACATGGCAGTGTGGTGTTCTAGAATGTACCTTTTCAACCTATGTGCTTTAGGCCCCATACTCCTTTTGTAACTTTGCTACTTCTATCTCCACCTCAGCCCATGTCAGATGCCTTTTCTGTCCTTTTCCCTTTCTGTCTCTAGCCTGGTTAAGTACTTCAGGGGTTCCAGTAAGAGGAGAACTGATGTCACAGAGGGCTTCTTTGAGCCCAGTAGCAATGAGTGTTCACTCACTGGATGCTTGTGGGCAGAATTCTTGCCAGGGGCTCCAGCTGTGCCTTATGCAACTTATGGAGCAGTGATGGATACTAGTGCTCTTTATAGAGAAGCCTGGAGTGCAGGGAGGTCAAGGAACAAGCCCAGGGCCACCCAGCTGGGCCCTGGTGAGGCTGGAGCAAACCTGGGTCCTTGTCTCCTGCCACCACCTCTCTGGTATCATTGCTGTCAGTGGACACTTTGCCTAAGGTTGTGGATCCCTGCCTAGAGTTTCAAATTGGAGTATTTCAGGGGTCTTTCTGATGGAAGTGCTCATGTACAGTTCAAGTGTGGATCACTGTTTGATGTGGAAGCCTCTGAGGTCTTTCTAGCATATGAAAAGGTGAGAATTTCTTAAGCCAACTGTTTGTTTACTTAGTTCAAGTACTTGTTCTCTTTTAATTCTCCTGGTTCTTATTGTAGCAAATACTGAGAGACCTCTTTCACCAAAAAGATTTAGGTTCCCATTAATGCTTTGAAATTTCACGTGGGTTACACAGGAGGTGAGAGCCTCTGGAAAAACCTTGAAATGTTTAAAAGATCACTGCAAGGGAATTCATTTTGTGAAGGAAAATGCCCCAGAAGACTTTGGTTTTCAGTACCCCTTAGAAGCATCTCCAAGAATCTCCACTGGCCCGCAGGATGCTAAGAGCAATGACAAAACTTGAGATTCTTGTGATGCAAGAATTTGCTCAAAGTAATTAAGTCATTACCGTATTTTAAAAGTACTTTATCTGACTGATGGGATAGCCTCAAAATGAAGCCTTTTTAATCACTCCTCATATTGGTGTAGAGAATTTTCTTAGATAAAATGATTCAGAGCAATGATCCATTCATTCAAATATTTTGTCCTTTGCTATGACACGACCGTCGCTCAGCTTCTATTTGTGGAGCCACAGTAAAAACACAATTACCGTCTCTTTTCTTCCCAACGCATCCCTTGTTACTATGCTGTTACATTTAGCGTGTCTTACATTTACAGGTACTTTTTTTTTTTTTTGGTGACACTGGGGTTTGAACTTAGAGCCTCACATGTGCTAGGCAGGCACTCTACCACTTGAGCCACTCACTCCACCAGCTCTTTTTTGGTTGGGTATTTTTTAAGATTGGGTCTTGTGAACTATTTGCCCAGGCTGGCTTCGAACTTCAATTCTCCTGATTTCTGCCTCTTGAGTAGTTGGATTACAGGTATGAGCCACTGGTGCCCAGCTAATGCTACATTGTTTAATTGTTTAGCTAAGGATCAATGATCTCTCTTCTTTTCTTAAGGGGACACGTACCTGGGGAGATGGTACCAGTCCTCTAACCAAGCTTTCACACCTGAGTTTTCCTCTAATTCGAGGAGGCTTTTGCTTAGATATGGACTATTCCTGATCTGGATTTTTTCTAGGGGCAGAGCTGTCCAGTAGGACTTGCTGCAATGACGGAACTGCTCTGCCCTGTTCAGTATGGAAGCTGCTAACCACGTGAGGCTAGTGAGGAGTGGGAACGTGCTCAGTTAATTTTAATGAATGAGCATAGCCATGGGTTTCTGGAAGCTACCATGTTGTATAGCAGAACTTTATCTGATGGCTTCAGGAGAGAAGACGTTGGGTTCAATCATCTCCTTATTACCGTAGTAAGTAGTTTGGGGTTTCCAGTGGTGACAGGAATTTGTGATTTTGAATTCCATGCTAGAGTTTTAGATCATTTGATAAAACATCTCACTGAATGCTTTTAAAGTTATCTGTGCTTTTCCCTAAAAAATATTCTATTCTGTTGTCTTCACTTTGATACATATGGCAATTAAGATTGTCTTTCAGATTTGAGAATACAGTGTTCTTCCTCTCTGCATTGTAGTGATGATGGGATTAGAGACGTGCTCAAATTATGTGTTTCCTAATCTGGGGTTTTAGAGTTCTGATGGGCGTGGGGGTAGGAAGGAATTTGAAATTGTAGATTTGAAAATGTTGCCTGTTTAATTCTTACAGTTCCAAAACAGAAGATTCCAGGCAGGTATCTTGGAAAAGCTACTTTTTTGAAGTACTTCTTACAACTCTTAATATGAAAATAACTTAATTTTCCTCCATGATAATATATGTAATGTATGCTCATTGTAAAGGTTCATACACTACAGGAAAGCATAAGGAAGAAAAAATTAAACTCTTACCATCTTGAGCTGTGACTGCCATTAACATGTGGAAAGGCCATCCTTTTATCACTGAGAACATCTTCATCACAATGGATCAGTTGACTAGGCTGAAATATGAGTGCCAGTTCTCTTTTATGGTGCTGTCATTAATACCCACCATGTCACATTGACTAGAAAGATAGTTGTAAAAAAAAAAAAAAAAAGAAAAGAAAGAAAGATAGTTGTCCTCACTATTTCCAGAGGCAGCCCACTGGGTCAGTGTTGTGTTGGTTTATCCCAAGGGACCCTTCCCTTGGGGGAGGAGAAGACCTTTAGGAAATGGCCTGAAGCCATCTAAGAAAAAGAGTGACCCAGTGTTAGCTTAAAGTCTGAGGGGTATCACAGAAATAGAGCCAACATAAGTCCACAAAGGGCCTTCGACAAGCAGGTCACCTTGGGAAAGCAGAATTGATTCATTATGGCACTCAGAAACCCTTGCTTAACTTTGCTCACTCTAACATCTTCTACAAGGAAATCTCCAGATCTCTTATTAAATGAAATGTGTTTTACGGTTTAAGATTCTACAAAAAAGGATCATGAAAGTAACTGTGATGACAAGTTAAATAATCACCTTAGAACTTAATGAGTTTTCTTCTTCAAAGATAAGACAGCCTGTCAAGCAGTTCTCATGTTTGTCTGTTTCAGTCACATCCTGATCATTCTCTTTTCAGATCATCCCTACTTTGTTGGTGTCCAATTCCACCCTGAGTTTTCTTCAAGGCCGATGAAGCCTTCCCCACCATACTTGGGACTCTTACTTGCAGCAACTGGAAACCTGAGTGCCTACCTGCAACAGATGTGCAAACCGTCTTCCAGGTAACCAGCTTTACTGCACCTAGCAGTGACCCGGATGCATAGATACTAACATCTTAGGTGTCTTGCCAAATTGAATCTCATTATAGAATTTTTGTAAAGTGAAGGATCACTTTTTTCCCCTGAATGGATTTTTTTTTCTCTTCATGAAAATATTTTAAACACATCTACAGCAGTAATGTGCTAGCTTTCCAAATCATGCTGATTCTGGCTATTATTTTAGAAATTTTGATAGGCAAAAAATTAGATTTTCTTTTGTTTATTCTTCAGTTAATAAGTATGTATAGTTACTGTATATGTTTATTGACTGTTTGTTTTATGAGTAGCCTGTTCATATTCTTTGCTTCTTTTTTCCCTTTTGTTGTTGTGTTCTTTTCCTTACTTTTGGGCAAGTGTTTTATATAAGGATCATTAATCCTTTGTTAGATTGCAGGTTTTTTCCAAAGTAGTTTTGTTTTTCTTCTAGCTTATTTGTTTGTTTCTTTTGGTGGTATTGGGTTTTGAACTCAGGGCCTCATGCTTGCTAGGCAGGTGCTCTACTGCTTGAGCCACTCCACCAGCCCTTTTTTTCTGTGTTGGGTATTTTTGAGATAGGGTCTCACTTTTTGCTTGAACTGACCTCAAACCATGATCCTCCTGTTCTCTGCCTTCTGAGTAGCTAGGATTACAGGGGTGAGCCACTGGTGCCCAGCCCCTTTTTTTTTACATTTTTAGTAGTACATGATACTTGTACAGGGATCTTCTAGCTTGTTAATGGCAGCTTTTATTAAAAGTAAGGACTTTATGCAATCCTGTGTCTTATAAAAATTCATGCAAATCCTTTAGTATATGCCTAAAGTCTTTTCCTATGGAAAAATTATATAACTAATAACCCTGATGTTTTCTTCTAGCACTTTTATGGTTTTGACATTTAATTTAAGTCTATAATCTATATGGAGTTTATTCTTAGTGAACTATGTGAGGTAGGGGTCTGATTCCCCCTCTTTGCCCTATAAATTGTAAATTAAGTAATTTGGCTTTATTTAAGAGATTTCTCTTTTGTTCAGTTGATTATATTTCATTCCCTTATACCTGAACCTTTACTCTTCTTTTCATTATTGCAGCATTATTCTAAACTAAGACCATACCTTCCCTGTCCCCTTATTATTCAAAAATTTTTAAATGTATTTTGTGGACTAGGCATGGCTCAAGTGGTAGAGCACTTGCCTAGCATGCACCAGGCTCTGAGTTCAAGCCTTAGTACCATGGGGGAAAAAATGTATTTTGCTGGCAGGGCGTGGTGGTGCATGTCTCTAATCTCAGCACTTGAGAGGCTGAGGCAGGAGGTTCATGAGTGCAGTGCCTGCCTGGGCTACAGACCCTGCTTCAAAAAGTACAAAAATCAAAACAAAACAAAAGTATTTTGTTGTTCTTCCAGGTGAATTGTTAAGATCAGGTTTGTGTAAAAAATTAGACATTTTCATTGAAATTTCATTACATTTAAATATTAGTTTTGGGGGCTGATGGTGTGCCTCAAGTTATAGAGCGCCTGCCTAGCACGTGTGAGGCCCTAAGTGCAAACCCCAGCAAACCCCAGTAACAGCAAAAAAAAAAAAAAAAAAAAAAAAAAAAGAAGAAGCTGATTAAGTACTAGTTTGGAGAGAGTTTATTTACATCTTTACTTCTCATCCAAAAATGGGGGAGACAATTACCACAGTAACCACGTATGTTGTTAGAACATCTCCATTGTCGACCCTCATCCTATCAAACAGTCATTGCATTACTGCTGTCGACGGCTGCCAGGGTCTGTGCCCGGGGTGTCTGTGTGAGTTTGGTACATGAGCCTTCTTGTTGGTGGCATCGACTGCTAGGAGAAGGCCCACAGCCTTCACTTGCCCTTTTCCTGTGTGTTCACTTGCCCTATGTCTTACTGAATAACCATCATTCCTTGCCGTCTTGACCCAATGCACTGGTTTTCAAACTGTGCCCGCAGAGCTGGAGCATAGCCCACCATGAGGAGCAGACTGAGGGAGCCCTGGGTCCTTCCCTGCTTCAGCTGAGGTCTCCACACTATCTGCCTCACATGCCAAGGTTGGGCATGAGAGATTTCATGCAAAGAAGACCCTCCTGTGTTCTCAGGCTGCACAGCTTATGCAACAGAAAGAAAATTCCAGTGGGATTCCATGTCGCATGTGCACTGTGACCCTTCATGGCCACTTTTAGCCTCTATTACTTTAGTAGAGACGGCGGGACAAGTTAGATGGGTGGGAGAAATTACTTGCTTTTATTTTTCTGGACCGTTTGCAGGCACCAGCTGTCATGTGACCCTTGTGTGGCTCATATGGACTGTCCACCTGTGTCCTGTGGCCTGCTGAATGGTGATCTCCCCAGTAGTTTCTGAGAAAACTGCTTGCTGGCAACTCCTAAACAGTGCAAAGTATGTCTTGGAGGGAGGGAAAACCCTCTTAACAAAATTCTGATGCTGGTACTGGACTTCCAGCTGACAAGTGGCCTTCCACAGTTGCAAGAGAATTCTTACGTATCCCCCACAAACTGGCACCTTAAAGCGCATCCTTTATCTGTGTCTCCCTGGCTTCCCAGCACACAGGCATTGATTATTACCATTAAAGTAATAAATACTAGTAGCAGAGGAGAATGGAGATAGTCTAGTCTAATCTTGACACATGGTAAAGTTCGCTCAAGCAAGAATGGTGACAAGGAAGAATTAATCGAGTCACAAACACCAGGATTACAAAGGAGTCCTGCTCTTCAGCTCCTCTCTGTCCAGCTATGTGGAATTAGTGAACTTTGAAAAGCAAATGACTGCTTTTGATGGCCAGGCTCTAATGCGAGCTGAGTCGGAGCTGTATTTCTTTCAACTTTCAATTTTCTTTCAAGATTACTTTATGTAATGAACACTAGAATAATGACTTCCTTTCCCGGAAACTGACTCTGATGATATTCAAATGTATAGCTCCCGGGACATCTGATGTCTTGCATAAGAACACCTGAGCAGTGACCTCTGCATTTGCCTAATGGAGAATATTGTCTTTGAGCACTTGGGAAGTTGTAGTACGAATATTATTTGAGGCCTTAGAGCTGGTGAACAAAATTGTCAGCCACCCTGTTATCTTCAGAATAGCAGCAGTTATGAAGACCAACTCTACCTGGTTTTAGACCTGTAGCCATCCGTCCAAGGGCATAATAATTTCAGAGTAGTATTTTTTAGGCTTTTATGAGCTACTAAGAAATGCATGCACAGTCAAACTAAGAGTCTTGTTTTGGGCTCTCAAGACCATCCACACATTTGGTGATTCTCGAGAAGGAATCAGAGTTATGTTCACAGCTGTTTACCACAGTGACACAGTCAACATGGACAAGAGAAAACAAAGTAGGTGGAGTCTGGAGGAACCCATTTTCGGGTTTCCTGGGCTCCCTCCCTCCTGTGATAAATCGCCTAGGTGCACTGTGCTTCCAGCTGTGAAAATGCAACGGCCTGTGTGTGAGGTTTCTGCCATAGCGCTGTGTGAGGCTTGGTGTTCAGGGATTTTACTGAGGCCTCGTTCCCAACCTAGCAACCCCTAAAATTCTCCACTCCCCAGAAGGAAACAGTGTTCACCATAAATCACCTTGTTTGCGCAAATAACCTAGGCTCAGGGAAATAACCTTATCAGTTAGTCAAGAAGTGCACCTTCTGAGAGCCACATTCCAAGACACCAGTCAAGAAACAACCCTATAAGCTGGGCACTGGTGGCTCATACCTGTAATCCTAGCTACTTGAGAGGCTGCGATTGGGAGGTTTGCAGTTCGAGGCCAGCCTAGGCAAATAGTTTTTGAGACCTCATCTCCAAAATAACCAGTGCAAAATGGACTAGAGGTGTGGCTCAAGTATTAGAGTGCCTACTTTGCAAGTGTGAAGCCCTGAGTTCAAACCCCAGTCCCACCAAACCAAAAGAACCAACCCTGTAAGCATTTCTAAAGATGGCCACTTCAGGCCTGCTGCGTTAACTCCATTTTGCACAATTCTAATTAATAAACCATTTTTAGGAGACCAGACACAGTGACTCACGCCTGTAATCTTGACTACTCAGGAGATGAAGATTGGGAGGATAGGGGTTTGAGGCCAAGCTGGGTAAAAAGTTAGCAAGACCCCCATCTCAAGCAATAAGCTGGGCATAGTAGTACATGCCCGTGATCTCGGTTACTGGGAGGAATATGTAGGAGGACTGTGGTTTAAAGCTAGCACCCATGCAAAAAGAGAAACCCTATCTAAAAAATAACCTAAAACCAAAGGTGGCTGGAGGTGTGGCACAAGTGGTAGAGTGCCTGCCTTGCAAGTATAAGGCCCTGAGTTCAAACCCCAGTACCACCAAAAACAAACAACCCCCCCCACCAAACAAACAACAAGAATAAACCCCACTATTTTTAGAATAAGTCCAATGAGAAGGGGGAATTATGATCTTTTAAACAAATTATCATAATTCTTTGGTGGCATCTCTCTTCTGGGGTCTAAATTTACATTTAGATGTATTAAAGGTAACCACAAGTTTGCATGGCCTTGCTGGCACAGTGTAGTGAGTGGAATGACAATTGCTTCCTGTAATTGTAAGGAAAAAAATCAGGAGACTTGCACTAAATAGGATATGCTAAGGTTCTTGTAATCGCAAGTTAGTATCTAGAAATCTTAGTATCTAGAAACAAAGCACACAGTTGTGTCAGGAATTGTTGGGGGGTTGCTGGGATTGACTACAAGGCTCTGCTCATACTAAGCACACACTCTACCACTGAGCCACACCACCTCCCAGCCCCAGGAGTGCCATTTTTAAGCAACAAAAGAAGGATTGGAGTCTGAAGTCGATGGGTTGTTTTTAAGCACACGTGTCTGCATGGCTGCCCTGCTAAGCTCTTAGGCCCAATCACTACACACCAACTTCCAGTTTTATGACCTGGGCATTTATCACGCCCATTTGTCAGGTCAGGCCTTGCCTGGATAGAAAGCAAGAATGTAGACTGGCTTCAGTCTGCAGTTCTCAGAAATGCAGCTCTTTGGGGAAACATGCTTTTAAAGTTTAAAACTGGACTCT